ACTTTTCACTTGGCAAATTTTCAATGCATGATGGACAAAAAATTCAGGTCAGCCACGACAGCTCTCGGTGAGCGCGTTTGCTGTAATTTCTAAGTTTTATGCATCTATTTTTGCGTCATCAGCAGCATCGCAGAGAGAGAAAGAATGACTCTCGCGCGCACCAGCCATAAAAATAGCGGAGGACGCCTGCACGTCATTTTATTATTAGTTTTCGAGAGTGCATTTTCTACTCACTCTAAAAACATAACATCGCATCAATGGTTAATTTATCTTCCAAATAAGTGGATTGTGCTATTTGTGTACATTTTAACGGTTATGCTGCGCGGACTCAAAGAGTTGCATGTATTTTCCTCTTGTTTATCTCGATGACCAGCTCATTCCAGAGATTACACCAAACTGAGTATAAAAAAACCGAAACAAACAAGATTAAAGGAATCCAAGCTGATTAACTTTCTGGGTTGAAGAAAAAAATATATAAATTTCGTGGGTTGAAAGTAACTTTCTGTCACATTAAATGGATCTTAATGAGAACTGTTTCGGCCAAGCCCATTTCCACGACACAATATACTTGTTATCTTATGTGACAGGTCATGCAAACAAAGTTAACTCTCGCTTTTTTGAGGCTAATTAGCTGATAACCCATATTTGACCGCGAGGACAAACCGGCTAACTGACCCAGGCAGGTGTGAATCGACCACGACTTTCCTCTTTTGGCCGGTCTGCTGTGGCATATTTAAAAGAAACTCTCACTTTTGTTTAAAATACATTTGGATTCAACCAAAAGTATTTATTAAATCTAAAGAAAATTGTAACCTTGTTCTACATATTTAATTACAAATACATAAATTTTATGTTTCAACTTTTTTTTATTTATTATAATTATTATTATTATTATTGCTGTTTAATTGTCCACAACATATATTAATTAATAAATTTCATATTGAAATTATTTATTCTTTTCATTATTTATTCTTTTCATTTAAATAGCCATCACTAACTTGGCGTTTATTTTCAGTTTAGAATGCTGTACTTAGTTAGCAATCCATACACATTACATTTCATTCAATGGGTTAACTTCTGCACCAACACCCACGGCCGCACAGTCGATGCTGGGAGCAATTTAATTTTCTCCGTGCATGATTTTAATCTTGTGCAGCTCATTAATCATCACGGCCATACGGCAAGCAATTACGTGCATGTGCAACGCAAACTGCAACCGATTAAATGCATAAATCACCCCACCTCTTTGGTTAGAGACGCAACCTTGCGACTCGACCAACGGCAGCACGCTGATTTATTTTTTTAATTATGCAACCGGAGCCATTCACGCCTTATTAGTTGCTCGGTTATATATACACTTGCCTCTGAATGAAAAGTGCAAATAAGTCGCTGGATTAATTAATGCGTCACGACAATGTCATCACAGAAGGTGACCACCAGTATCAATCCAGACGCAGACCGCAATCTGCACGAAACCCAATCGTTGTGTTTTCCACGCAGAAATTCCGTCGCGTGAATTTCCTCTGATCTGAATATCTGATCGTGCTTTTTGGACTGGGTACCGTGCAAATGACTCATCGTCCATTGGAATTATTTCAGACCACGAGGCCCACCAAGTTCAAGGTTTGATGAGAAAATATTGATTATCCGCTAACGGCATAGGGTAGCGCATGGGGGTGGCTCACTATTGCGGCACGGGGTCTCGGCTTCGTATAAAATCTTGGCCAAGGGCGTTTCTAACAGAAATCACGGAAATTGCCATAGGAAACAAAAATTAAATTTCATTACCTTAAAACTACAATCTTTAAAATTGAAGTCCCTTTTTTGAAACTGCGGTATTTATTTAAATTAATAGTATGCGCAGTTTAATTTGTATTTCAATAAAAGGCCAAATAATGTAATTTAATTTCCAATGTAAACTTAAAAGATTTTAATATCAATATTACTTTGATTGAAAACTGATTTTTCAACAAGGACAATGTCCGTTTATTCCACTTCATTGTACGTCTCCTCAAGTTCTAACTTCTTTATTCAGAGTAATTTCTGATTTTTTTTTAATTGCAGACTTAATCAGTTAATGATTTTTACTTTTGTTTTATTGTTTTTCAGTCTGACACAGTTGCTTTTGATTCCGTGTGTCGCGACTTAATTAATTTTACCCGTTTCACTATTTTCAACTTCTCTCAGCAGCACAGAATCTCATCAGTTTGGCGGCAGCGCTTCTCTCCTCTTTCTTCTCGTTCTCTGGTGTGTTATTATGAGAAATAATATCGAGAGTAGCTATTTTTAAAAGTCGGGCAGCCACTCGTCCACCTACTATATAGGTGCAAGGGCAACCCCCTAGATCAGACGCCACCGCTGCTTTGGGCCAATTAGACGTGACTCGGCGTGCGTCGCGGCGAAAAACATAAATGTAAAACTCTTGGCCGCCGCCACCATCCGCCGGGTTGGCAGAGGCAGTCACGTAGTGCCAAATTTTAACCCTTAATGAATTATTCCTGAATAAATGCGAACGGCACGAAATCGCACTTGACATCAACTCTCTCTTGAAGAAAGTGGACTGCTAATTGTAACTAGAAAAGTGCCAAAGATTGAATTGCGAGTTGCAGGATTTTTCCATTCCTCAACAGAAAGACGAAAAATGTAATTTTTCATTTGTGAATAATGAGGCCGGCGAAGTGCAGCAACAATGCATCACGCAGCGATTTGTATTCACGGTGCCAGCTCCGAAGAAAGCCATGACGAATGAGTTTAATTCTGCCGAGAAAGACCATAAATCGCGTCGACTCCGATGCGCAAATTATGATTCATCGCCGGCGGCTTCAGAGAAGCGGGTCAAGAAATGCATCTGTGTGGCGCATGCAGTTATATTATTGTTTTAGTTGCAAGTTATAGCCCATAAAAGCAGAAGCACGCGTCCTTTAACCACCACCGAGAGAGCACATCTTTGCTTGTGGTGCACTCGATTCAGAGCTGCTTGTACTTGCCTTTGTCATTAGCGAGAGGCTTTTTCGAGTTTGATGTAAAAACAGAGGCGCACCAACACTCTGACCTATTTTCTTCACACATATAGCATCAGACGAGCAATGTACCGCGAGAGGGTACTGAGGGGCTTATTCGCTAGCCTCGATTTTGCACAAGGCCAGGGGTTCTCAGAATCCGTTCTATTGTGTTTGCCGTTCATCAAAATCATGAGTCTCAGGATCAGTCATCCGAAGAAGTCACGTGTCTCATCGTTTGTATATTATTTGGCATATGATTTTAAGTTTCATTTTATATAATAGTAAATTTAAAAATATCTAAAACTTAAAAAGCTAGCATAGTACGAGAGATTTAAAAAAATACTAAACCCAAAATATGATATATGATTTAGTGACACAATTAAAGTTAATTCAATTTCTATTTTCAAATTAAACTCAAACATTAATGTTTAATTTGCCTTTTTGTTTTTGAATTGCTTAATTTCATAATATGTTTAGAAAATATGGCTTTTCAATATGAAATAACGTTTCTCATTCATTAATTTAGATTTTAAATTTTTCGGATTTTTTTTTCAAAATTATTAATTTTCATAAAATTATGGCTGATCGCTGTGACCAGACTATGACGAAATAACCGTTAACCGCGGATAATGCTGCTGCATGATTGCGTGCCGGTGTATTTTTTATTCATTCACTGTGTTCTCTCGTTCGCCTCTCCCGCACACACAAAGACGACGCGTTGCATTTTGATCAAGGCAGAAAGCCGGTGCGTGTGACTTGGGACACGCCGTTGCAGTAGCTCTTGATTTATTGCCCAATCTTTTTGGGTCCTCAAATTTTTTCGAGCTTCTAGTCTGCCCGGAATGACAACGCCTCGCCTTATTTTAAATAAAAGTGGGCGCTGCTGCTGGGCGTCGGTGCGTGCATACCGTATTCTGGTCGACTGCCGACAAGATGTGGTTGGACCCTAAAATTAACTTCTGGGAGATATTTGGGTGGAAATTATATACGTTCCTAGAATTTAAATGAAGAGAATTAAGCCTATTTGATAATGCAAAATAATATAATAATACTAATTATTAATTGTTATTTGACTGAAACAATGTGGGGGTTTAAAATTGTTAAAAATGATGTATGCATATAATTAAACTTAAAAATTATCGTGAATTTTAATCGTCTAGACAATTTTAAAATTTAAAATATAAATTATTTGTTCTGTCACTGGGACTGATTTTTGATCGTTTAGTTTTCACTATTTCTTTTTTTACCTTTTTGTAATTTGGTGAGAATCGAATTAGCTCAAATTAACTCCGCTAGAGTTGAAAAACACTGTGACAGTCACGGATTGCTTCGCGAGAAAGATTTTCACTTAACAGTTGCCGCGTCAGATGCAGCTCGATTTTTCATTCACAGCCACTAATTGTGTCCTTTATCGCCGGCACCAATTAATCTGCATGCCCAAAAATACTCCTGACCGCGAAGTCTGTGACCGCCAAGCCGTGGCTGGTTTCTTCTCTTTCTCTCGCGAATTTCACCGCGCTTGAAAAACGCGATGACGGTGCAAAGTCGGGGAGGAGATCGTGCATTTGCATTCCGTCAGATGCATTTTCTCACGTTGTGTGTCGCTCGTGGCCTATGGCCAAGTGCGAAGCTTCTTTGCCATGATCGTCACGTTCCTCTTTCTTACATACTACAAAACCATCATTGCCTATTTATTGCAAGCTCACAGTGCCCGTCCGTCCATCCGCCCGCTACTCTTCTTTCATTCCGAGCGCATTTTGGCTCCGTGCTTATTTTTTAGGGCACAATAATCTCCAAAATGACGACCTCCTCCTCATACAGGGCCTACAGGCCGACGTTCTTTTGGTAAATATTGTGCGTTTTATTGGGGCATAGGCGCGAGTTGTCACAAAGAAAATTGGTTTGGCTCGGGAATAAGTGCGTAGAATGAAATCAATACTTTTTCTGTGACTCGTTTATTCTCACTGAATTTTTCTGATTGGCTTTGATTTTTTGCAGGGGATGTGAGATGCCGGTATCATCGTCATACTCTCGGGGCGACGTGACGGTGCTACCCTCGAGCGGAACCTCGCGAATAATGCCCGTGCCATCATCTTCAGGATCCACTCGAAGATCATTTTCCTCGACCTCTGGCGTTTCCTCAACTGGATCCTACAGCTACCGGACAATAGAAAGACCCTCTTACCTGAGTAAGAATTTTTATTGTTTTTTTATCCATAAATATGAGCACAAATTTTAGATCAAACTGTTTTGCATAGTCAAATATTCATCCAGTAATAATTTGAATAATTTTAATAGAGGAGTTGTTTACCTTTAAGATTGAAAAGATAATTAATTTTATTGTGTTGTGTTTAATATTACTAGAGTAACAATTGTAGATAGTAGAATTCAAATTTAAATGTTTAAAATAATTTAACGCTCCCTTTTTATTAGAAGTTGAGATAAATATTTAATTTTTACAAGGTCAACCTTTTTAATAAAAATTTGAAAATAAACAAATAAAACAGTGAAATTGATTTTAAAATTCCAACAATCGATTAAATATTTTCTGATTATTGAAATGAATTGTTGTTGTTTTAGCTTTCTTGTGTTTAATTGTAAGAAAAAAAGCTTATTCGTACTCCGTATTTTAAAAAGGAGTATTTAGTGGCTAAATATTAATTTATTTTTAATCTTGCAGACTCAGTGAATGCTACTGGATCGTACCTCACCAACAGACCGACCAGAATCTCGACAAGTCTAAACGATTACAAGCCCTCGGAATACAAGAGCTCCATCTACAACTCATCATCTACATCATCCAGTTCGTACTCAACCCCTAGCAGTGGCTACAGAAGTCGCCTCTCTGGCATGTCCTCGACCACCAGCAGCGCTTCTTCAGCGAACAGCTACTCTTCCTCCAGCTACTCTCGGACCTCCTCCACTACTACTGACACTGACAATAGGTAATGCACGTGTGTGTAAAAAAACTGGACTTTTATGAATTTTTTGAACATCAGTTAATGGGAACATGATAAAACGGAAGACCCTATTTAACTGGTTTAAAAAAATTAACATTTTTATTGTGTAATAGAATTTTTGGGAAAAATTTTGCATTCTGTATCAAAGTGAAACAACTAAAAAATTGTCAATATTTAACACTAAATAAAAATTAAAAATTAAAGTTCAACTCTCCCAAAAGAGGTGCTACCCTTAGGTAGACAATATATTATCCTCAACAAGGCCTTTTTCTTTTGCAATAATTTTGGAGTAGATTTTTAAAAATATCGTTTGTGCATCACAACAATTTGTTTATTGTTTTATTCATTTTTTGTTACCAAACGCTCTGATTGGATGCAATTTTTCTATTTAACTTTTACCCTATCAAAGAGCTCAAACAACAATTGGTTTATGTTTCATTTTTGTGATGCACGAACCTTTCTGTGGAGTTTCTTTGAAATTGTAATGAATGTCAATCTGTAATATTAATCTCATTCATTTAAACAAATGGGATGAATGCTTAATTATGCTTGCAAGATTTTAAATCCAGTGTATTTAAGCCGATTATTTCAAATTCACGTTAATAATTTCACAAATTTCGCAGGGAACGTGAAAATGGTACCACTTCATCCTGGAGGTCACGGGTTTACAATGATCCAACCCTGAATTCCACTTTACCATCAAGCAAGCGACTGGACGGAGGCCAGCAGACAACGACTAGTTCTGCATCTACTTCCTCTCCCTCCTCAAATGCTGGCAGGCTCCAGCGACCAACTCTTCAAGAATCCATTGATGCTGTTACGGCAAAGTTGTCTGCAGTTAAAGACACCAGGTTAGCAACTATATGTTTGGCTAGGAGCAAAATATCCTATATCGTCAGTTTCTCAAAATAAGTCTGACAATTAGTCATCGCTCTGTAAAAATTTAATTTTAAATTTCTTTACAGTGTAATTAGTTGGAGACTTTTAAAGCTATGAAAAAATATTATTTATTGTTTTAAATGAATAGACTTTGAGGATTTCATAATATTTGTACATTTTTTTTTTACTTTGTCTATTGCAGTTATTATTGTACCTTTTTTAAAACCTTTTTCTATTTTAAAAACAATTTTCATTGTTTAAGGGCCAATCAGAAGTGGTACCATAAAATAAAACTTGTACCGGTTCTATTTGACCAACAAGTACGACATTTCAAACAAAATTTCATTATTGCAAGATTATTCAAGATTTTATAATTTAACAGCACATTAATTAACTTTTATTTCCAGTTCTGGGGCAACAAGTAAATACAAAAGCTCATATTTGAATGATGTCTCTGTGGCCAGGCCTACAACGCTGAGATCTCGAACCACACAGGTATTATATTTATTCCGCAAACAGGATACAAAACTCCAGAGATTTTACGAACCTTCAAGTAGTACAAACATTACAATTTCCTTCAGTGTGTAATCCCTTGAATCTAACAATCAAACCAACGACAGCTTTTTTGTTTTAATTATGTTGAAGTAAAATATTATAATATCAGAGCACCTTTAACTGCCAAAATAGACCTGCATGAAATGCTATAACAAACTAACACATGTGTTTGTCTCCCCCTGTGCTCCCCTCCCCACCAGGATCCTGACCTCGAAGACAAAGATGAGGCTCGTCGGCCCTCAGTCTTAGAGATGAGACGATTATTTGACCCTTTATTGACCTCGTCTGACTCTAATCGGGGCTCGAAGGAGGCTGTGACCAGTTCTGTGACCACCTCTGCCGCGGCAAGCAGTTCCTCGAACAACACCGATCAGCAGAAACCAGTGCCATCTAAGCAGGACTCAGACGATGAAAGTTCTGAGAGTGAGGAGAGCGAAGAGTCGGAAGAATCGAGTACCGAAGAAGTGGCCACCGCAGACACGAAGAATCAATCGTCCAGGAGGTCGAGGGCCAACACAAGCACCGGTCTCCCTGCTGGCAGTGAAGATGGCGCAGCAGCTGAGCAGAATGATGTAAGTACCGACCCCCCACTTGCCTTGTACAAATCATTCGCACGCGGTTTTAAATCAACGTACTGTAAAAATGTACACTTGACATTTTCGATTGTGATCTCTGCAGAATATCATTGTTTTTCACTCATGATAATTGATCTCAAGTGTGTGATCACAAACATAACATCTTGGACAGGCAGCAGATTTTAAGATTGACATGTGCATCTGATACAGAATGAATCATGCGTTGTTGACATTGCAAAGAGATTAAATTTTATTAGAAATTTTGAAATTGGTTCAAATAACTCATCTTGACTCACGCGCATTACGCAGCATTCTTTAACTTTAAAACTCATTTTGTATCTGGGTTTATATGTTCCAATTTATTTATATTATTATAATTTTTAAAAATTAAAACATTTTTAAACAGAGAAAATAATATTTTTTACAGGCAAAGATTATTGATATTTTTGGGGGGGGGGGGGGGGGGGTTCTCAAGAATAGATTGAGCCTTCAAATTTGATCTCTGATTGCGATTGCAATAACTAACGGTGATTAATATAATTCCAACAATTCTTTGCTCAAAATAATTTTAAGAAGTTTTAAAAATTAAAAATACAAGTATTATTGTGGAATTTGGATACAGGTAAATAGCAATTAAAAAAGCCCCTAATCAATTTATGAATGAAATCGTTGTTTAGAAAATCTATTTATTCCACTTGCAATTATTTTCTCAGCCGAAATTGCTAGACCAATTTGCGATCGCAGCAAAAACACCGTATTTCAACCAATTCGACGCGATGCAAAGCGATTGGGGCGAATCAGCGCGATATAGAGAAAGACTGCTAAGCCGGCTGAAAGTCTCGCCTCGGTGTGTTTTGGCATGCTCAAAGAAAAGCCTATTTTTACACCCTGCATTTAAAAATCCGAGCGCCGTTGTCGGCCAACAGTCGGACGTTGACCAAGAACAAGACCGTGCGTACTCTTAGCCCATTCGCGCGGACCGTGAACTTTCCAAAAGTGCGTGCTGACGAAAAAGAAAGAAGCGATGTGACTGCTCGCGATTCCAGTCCGAAAAACGCACGATGTACGGCGGTGAGTTTCTGTCCTCATGGCTGCCGTTGTCCATATGCGCCGTGATGGCCGTCGTCTTCCTCGTCGGACTGATCGAGGGATCCAGCGGTGGACCCTCACGGGACAAATCCGCGCCGAAACGCAATCCGAAGTTCTCGGCGTCCCCTGCATTCCACGAAGCGGCCGCCAGGCTCTCTGGAGGTGCTGCGACCACTTGTTACCCGCTGATGCAGCCACGCAGGGTCACAGCACCAGCCTCGTCTGATGAGGTATTTGCATACAAATTAAACTTGTGAAGCACTAGGTGGTAATTATTATGAGGCCAAATTATTCTGAGCAACGTTTCGCGTAATATTGGAAAAAGTGAAAGGGTCGTACTTTTCCTTCTTGCTTTATAATATGCAATTAGTTCACCCATTGTAAAGTACCTCTGAAAATTCTGAGATTTTTTCGCAATTTTTTGTGCGAATGCTGTAAAAGATAAGGAGCTTAAATGGAGTAGGCGAAACTTGTTTAAGATAATATCAGACTACGGAATTAGTGCAGCCTTTTTTTGAGTAATAAAGAATAAAGTCATAAGATGTGATCCGCTTTAAAAAGTTTTTATTATGTAGTTGTTATCAGAACAGTGTTCACTGCAATGTTGGTTTCAAAAGATACCAATTAAATTTTTTTGAATAACTTTTAATTTATCAAGTTCAACAACTAGCACCAACGCAATTTTAACGCAACATTAGTTTCAGGCCGCTTTTAAATTTATTTCAATAATTCATTAATTTCAATAATATAATTTTAATTTAATAATAATATATACTTAAATTTATTTTTTTAATTTTATTCAACAAAAGCTTTATAAGTGATGAATTATTTGAAGCGGAAAAAAATAAATAAGAAAGTCTTTCATTTGATTTTTATGCTCCGTGACTAAACATTTCTTTAATTCCTGGACACGTTTTAAATATTTTTGGTATCTGTACAGAACTTTTCTTGCGTCTTCAAATTCCTCATTTTTTTTATAACAATTGCAAATTAACTGAAATAAACGAATCCAACAATGACGTTTTTAAAGAACCCTGTTATCCTATCACAAGGATATTGTTGCATTATTTTATTCATTTAAATCAGCCAATCTTAAATTTTTTTGTTAAATTCATCCGAAAAATTTCAAGACTGCAATGGAGCCGTTAAAGTTTTGCCAAACGCCGCTATGCAAGTCTTCCGACTGCATCAAGTGCCGCCTGGCAAGAATGTGCGTCGGTGTGGTCAGCATGGTAGGAAACAAACAAGCGTCACCGTTTTACCCAAGAACCACTGTGCACGCCTTCCTACCCGCAAGAAGCGCGATGCATTTCGCTCAACCACACGCTGGGCAAAATAAAACGGGTTACTCGATTGCATTGCTGCGCGCTCGAACTCGGTTGCAATGCAAATCACCCATATGCGAGTTTGATGCTAAGGAATGAGTGATAGAAGGATGCAACTCGGTTTCGACACGCTCAACGTGCTGGTTTTCTACTCAGTAAAACACCTGCACATCCGTGCTTGCAAATAAATCTAGTCACGTAATTTTAATTTCATTTGACAGTGATGAATGAAAAGTCAATCGATGTAATGGAATCAATTAAGAATTTACTTAAAGCCACGGCTCGAGTATATAAGCAGGAAGATGAATTTAAATTTATTGTTTGTCTAATTCCACTTTCCATCGATCAACATATTATTTACTTCTGCCGGTCTTATTCGCATTTTAATTAATTTTTCACCTGGCAATGCACCCCCGCAGGGAATGCAACGCCGGTGACCTCTGTTGACCGTGACTGGTGCATTCAACCTTGTGACGTCACTCTAGGATATGCATCGCGCCAAGGACACGAGCCGCTCGTTGCAAATGATGCATTTTCGTGACAATTAGTGAAAATATACAAACGAGATTGTTCTGGACTGGGGCGCAAAAAAAAAAATCTTTTTCAGTGGTGCCGTACTTTGTTCGCCCTTCGAAAAGTCCCTCGCGTGACCCGACTCTTTAATTTCGCAGAGTAGGCAGGCGTAGTCTGTGCGCGTAACTTTGACCTTTTTGTTTTGTTTTCTTACTTAAATTCGTTGTTGCGAAAACGCCATTTGGAAAAGTGCAAAACGTGCCGTAATCAAGATGACAATTATCGTGACTGGTTATTTCCAGAAAAGCCGCCGTGGGTGGCTCATTCCCTTTGGTGCGATATTTTTGTTCGTGGACGGACATAATTGTTCCGCGAAAATTCGCACCACATTATTTCCACTCAAGTCAGTTAAAGTCACGTTTGGATGCGACTTAATTGAACAAACAATGGTTTGTTGCAATTCCCAAGCCATTGGATTCTGTAACTGAAAAATTTTATTACATGGTTTCCTGCTTTTAAAATAATTACATTGCCTCTGCAAGCGAGTGCAAGTGATAACTCAGTAAATTAGTCTCATTTTCACTTCCCCGTCGCCAAAAGTGAAATTGATGCTCGGTTTGCGGCGCCGAGAATAAATAATAATAAATCAGGATACAGTTGTGCGTGCATAAATTTCCACTCGGAATGCAAATTATGCGCGTGGATAATAAAGCAATCGGGTTTTATTCTCAAGGTGTTTATTGCAGTTCGCTGCCCCTTGGAGTGCGAGAGTTCCAGCTCCGGCTTGATTTTGTAATTGGAGGGTCGTGCGCTGATACGGATGCCACTCAAACAATTATTGCAGTTTGGCTGAAAAAGCCATTTGTGGAATTTTCTGTTTCGTGAGGTGTTTGAGTAATTTTGTGAGTCTCCTTAAATCACTACATAAAAACACTCGGGCTGACTATTTTAATTTAATAAAATTTATGACCCCTGATTTTTTATCATATTAATACCACCTATTTGACTTACATAACAAGTGATTAAAAAAAACAATCATTGTTAAACTTTTAAGAGCTCAAAATTAATTTTTATCAAGATAAATTAATGTACAGTCGGTCTTATTTTTGACCTTCAAAACGCAGACTGCTTGTTTATCTCTTGGCACTGACATTGAATTCGGCGCTCCTTTTCGCGACTAAAATCTTCTTTCCTTGCACCTTTTTACACTAAAATGTGGTGTGCTGCAAATAGCGAAAACGCCCGCCGGTCACTCATACAGGAATTACCTTCGCAATTATCCGCTCGAACCTTGAACAGAGAGCAGCGCCGGCTGCGCGACTCGCTAGCTCGCTCCCCGGCATAATAAATAAATAAATAATAATAGATTATATTGTGCGTTTAAATAATGAATGCACCGCTCAATGCAGTTCCGCGTCTTTCTTTTTCCTGGTCGGGCGCGAATCGTTCTCGGTTCGTTGCCTCGACACAATTACTTAACCTCTTTGCCCTGCAAAGACAAGAAGCTTCTGACTGGATCGATACTCAATCGGCTGCTTTTGCATCCGCAAGACGTTGCACCGCGTGCCAGTGGAACTTTCCGATTTTAACCTAGGTTTCCGCTCAGTGGAGCAATAAGATTGAATTTGCGTAATAGTCTCTCCTTCCATTGGCTGACGCGCAAAATTGCATCCCTATCGAAATGCATGCACTTTTTCAACCTTTGTATCAGACAATTCCTCTTTATCGGTTGCTAGGTTATTGGATTTGGAAATAATCTGCTCTTTTTATTATCCAGCTTCGATAATGATTGACTTTTTACTGCCGTCCATTTCCATCAATATACCAGATCAACACAAAATCATACATACTTTTACTTCTTCTTTCACAACATTCAAATGAATGAGTTAATTCAGTTGCTTGAAGTAGTCAAATAATACGATATAAAATATCATTACATTAAAATCCTGATCATTATAATTTCTTTTGAAGCAAATGAACGAAAAATGTAGTAAAAAAATATACACAATTATATAAGTGAAAAATATAATTTATTTCATTACAGTTCTTTTTGTTGCCATATTAGAGCTT